ACTGCAACCCAGTGATCTAATCTTGGGTTTGATTGGTATCTGCTAACCATCCCTACCGCAAAGCATATATCAAGTCTAGTAGATGGCATTGCATACATCAGGCTACCAACCGCCGATGCATAGGGAACTCGTCTCATATCCTCTTCCTCTTGAGGTGCCTTTGGACACTGCTCCTTGGAGAGATAAACTCCATGTCGAGAAGACAAATTTCCTTTCTTGGAGTTTTACATCGAAAACCTAACAAGCACCTTGTCAATATACGAAGCCTGAGACAATGCCAAAAGCCTATTCTTGCGATCCCAGATAATTTGGATCCCAAGAATGTAGTTGGCTTCTCGCAAATACTTCATTTGGAATTGGCTGGCTAGCTAGTTCTTTACTTTATATAACGATTCGACATCATTCCCAATGAGCAGAATGTCATCTATGTAAAGAATGAAGAAGACCACTTTACTCCTTGAATTTGCTTGTAGACACAAGGTTCACCAAGATTTTGTTCAAAACTATAAGATTTTATGGCTTCGTTAAATCTGATGCTCCAAGATCTAGAAGCTTGCTTTAGTCCATAAATGGACCTCTACAATTTGCAGACCTTCTGCTATTGGCATTCTACCACGAAACCCTCTGGTTGGACCATATGAATGGTCTCTTCAAGATGGCCATTCAATTGTCGTACAATTAGGACGGTCGATCCCACGAGAGATGATAAATTAAACGAGAAATGATTAGCGAATAAAAAGCGTTAGGAAAGTAAGCACTCAAACAAGAAAAGAAATGAGTGTTCTTGTGATTTTTGAACAATTTAATTTAAAGACTATGCAATTTAAAATGGAGAAAATTCAATAATTAATAGTGGTAAGACATTGAGAATCCTCTATATGCTTTGTTCACCTATTTGGATTTTGATTTGTAAATTGACTCAATTGAAAGTTTCACATCCCAAACAATCAATCAGAAAATAAAGAATTGAAGAACATGTGAATTAAAATGTATTCGAGTAAATAAAATTCTTACGTTTAGAACTAGGAAAAATTGTCTTATGAGAAATCTAAAGCGACAATATACCGTTGGTAATATTACAGTAAAAGACTACTCATAAAAGAATACCTACCAATATATAGTTTCATGCAACAATCACATAAAAAGAGCTTAACTAGATTTATCTACAAGTTGACTATAAAATATATTGATATGAGGAAGAAATATGATAAAAGAAAATTATTTACTCAAATGTATAAAACTTACAAACCATTAGAGAATCAAAACCCAAATAAGCTTACTACACATATAGGATCATCTCTAGCCTCACCCAAGAACTCTAGCCTAGCTTGCACATAATTCTCACAAAATTCTAAAGAGAAAATATGAGAATAAGAGCAAAACAATGACAAACAAAGTGTATAAGTTTAAGCTAAAAATTAACAACCTAATACACTTCACAAAGTCCCTATTTATAGAGTTTTTAGGGCATGTGAAAAAGCACTCAGCAAATAAACAAAAATAAAGGGACGTTTTATCCAATTAAATTGGATTTACAAGGCTTTATTCTGAGAGTGAATGCTGAAACCATCCAACAAAACCAAAACGGATCGCTAGCAGAAGAATCCCAAATGGGTGGGACACATGTCGCACAAAGTGGGGCTGAGCGGAGAAAATTGCCGACAACTACATCAATTCTGACACGTGGCGCTCGCTGATTCATGGAGAGGAGAAATTGCTACATAGCTGGGGCCCACGCAGAGGGAAGACTTGATGCGCACGTGGAAGAAACCGCCCAAGGGGAAGGAACTGTGCGCGCCAAGCACGCGTGCGTAAGGGAATAGGTGGAGCCCACAGATCTACGACGCACCAGACAGCGACACGTGGCAGTGATGGTTAGGCTCGCGCGGATCAGCTCAGCTGGTGGACGGCTCCTGATGGGCTTCATTTTCTTTTTCTTTTAGTTTTGGCCCAAATGTGTTATCCTACAAAACAAAATAAATTAAATTAAAATTAAATACTTCCACATAAAATTAATTCCACGAAAATATTTAATTAAAACTTAATTTATTTAGCAATTATAAACAATTTAAATGTATTTTCATACACTTATTAGGTGGCCTGAATTTTTCAGGCGGAACAGGTTAGACTTCAGGCAAAAAATCAATATTTTTAAGCGGTCGTAGGCGACCCGTCTAAAGTTCTAACACTAATAATAAGACTAGAGGAAAGCGCACTGGGAAAATACGATGAAAATGCTGGAAATTAATGGGGAATGAGGGCTTAAGGGGGCTTTATCTATTCATATTTATGAATGGCCTTCAGTCATTTCCTATTTCTCTGCATGATTTCACTATAAAAAAAATAAGGGATTTAACGTCTCCTAATAGAAGAAAGTTTATATATTAACTGCCATTTATACTAGTGTCGAAAAATGTGTCAGCTAACGACAAAATTTAGATGATGGTTTATTAATAATACGCCGTCAGAAGGACAAGTTCTTCAGATGACGGTTTTTGTAAAAATCGTCATCTAATCTGGGTGCAAAGTCCTAAATTTTCATCTTAAAACCCAACCAGATCGCTCATAACCCTATTCTCACACCCCTCTCTCTCTCTCTCCCCCCTCCCTCTCTCTCTTCAAAATTAAATTATTTTAATTAATAATTCCTCTCCCCCCTCTCTCTCTCTCTCCAAAATTAAATTATTTTAATTAATAATTTTGTTTGGCTAAAATAATTCACTCTTGATTAATTATCTGTTATTATTTTAATCCTGAGATAAATAATGAACACGTACACTTGACTTCTGCTTTTTGATGTGCCAAAGGGAGACATCTTGACATTGTGTAAAGGTACGCTTACTGTTATGTTAGGCGTATGACTCTTGTATGCGTAGATTTATTATTCATAGATAGGGGATCTGTAACTCTTATTAAAAGAGTTAATAATATCTTCTTATGGCATTATCCAAGGATTGGAAAACATGAGCACTCAGCCACTAGACTACTTTGTGTTATCTAATGGTTTACTATTTGTATTGGTACGAATAGTGGTTTGATAGAGTGATAATGGAACATAAGATAAATATAATCGGGAAGGTAAAATGGAACTTGACCTTAAGTCAATTATAGGTATCCTATGGGGATGATACACAATATAATAAAATAATGGGCAAATATACTGTATTAATCGAGAGTGCAGTTCTAGACTTTTAGTTGAGTAATACTAGAACTTATAATCATGTCATGAACTTGTGACTTAACGAATACTATCGTGGTTGTAGGAGCTTGATCAATACATATCCATCAAGTCCCTCTGCTAGCTCGTATATTTTTCTAAGGAGATACGGCGTATTTCCTACAAATTGATAACTTATGTTATTTCTGCAATTGGTTATAAATCGGATGTAATTAATTCATGAGTGATTTATCGGTTGAATTAATTATTTAAATTAATTCAAGATAAATTGGTTGAATTAATAAAGTGTTAAATTAATTCAAAAGTTATTTATTGGTTGTATTAATTACGTATTAATTTAAGATAAATTAATTACGTATTAATTTAAAGTTATTTATTGGGTCGAATTAATCGGTGGGCTATGTCCAGTTAATCAAACAGTGTTAGGCTGTACGGACAGTGTCCGTCTTCCGGTTAACCAGACAAACTTGTCCGGTTAACCATACAGTCTACGTGACTCCCACAAGTTGCAATTTTAATCGCAATTGTTGATCTGGAAACTTGACTTAATTGCGAAATAAGTCTAACCTACCTATATAAATAGCTCATTACATCCCATAGTCATTTAGATCACTTGAAAGATTCTTTGGGGGCTATTGGTATGGGTTCATGAGAGGAAAAACTGTTCAAACATTAAGAACGTCTTGAAAAAGTTCCGCTTCTCTAATTAACCAATAAAAATTATCCTTTATTATTTTATTAAACCATTGTGTTAAATTTCTTTAAATCGGAAATATCCATAAATACACATGGGACACTTAGTACGTTTAGTTGGAGGATTCAAATCATGTGATTCGAACTATTTTCGATTTACGTGAATTTTTTGTGAGAGAAAATACTGTAACGAACTATAAATCATGATTCGAATCAGGGAACGAATCCCTCTACCAAACATCTAATTAAAATTCTTACAAACCACTGCAGTTTATTTGAAAGTGTCAAAAAAAAAAAAGGGAATCAACTCTATATGGCATATGCCTCAGTCATACAATTGAACGAATGTGTGCAGCATATATGAATGGAGCTGTGAAAGAACAGATCAGTTTAATTATATATGACGTGGAAAGTCTAGACAAGAAGAAGCCAAATCCATGGCCGATCAAGGCAAAAAGGGACTGCAATTCTATGTTCAATGTACCAACAGATGGGTCTTAGCTTATAAAGCTACTCCAAACAAAACTAAACTTAAGATAAAAAACGACATGAAATGTATCATAAAGAAACGACAAAAATGATCACATCACAAACCTCCTGCATCAATATTATATATACTTAGAAAGGGTAGTTTACGCATATAAATATATGATTTGATAACTTTTTCTTATCGGCTTGGTTTAGTACCGTGACAAACATTATATCTTTTTTTCTCTTTAGTAAATTTGCGTGCAAGACATAGACACAGTCATGCATGTTACTGTGCAAGCCGTAAATTTTGAAATCCAATATGCAACAGTATAGACACGTGCGCGTTTGTAGAAACTGAAAAGTATGATTCAAAAAAGTAAAAAGTATGGTTAAACATCCAACAACATTGGCACAATAGAGAAATTGAAAAGTATGGATTCAGTGTACGGACGAAATATGGAAATTGAAAAAGTCAAAACATTAATACCGTCTATAACTATCATTCTCGTCCACTGAATTTTCACCGTGAACAAGTATATATATCCGTCTATAACTATCATTCTCGTCCACCGAATTTTCACCGTGAACAAGTGTATATATATATATATAATATATAGCAAGCTCCAAACTATAACCTTCAAAATACATTTTACCAAAAGCCAATATCACAAGTACATTAATATATCTCGAGCCTGAAAAGTAGCAGAGAAATAAATAAATAAGCTTTGCTAGATCTTTGAGCGCAAATACACACATATATATATATATATATATATATATGAAAATGGCTAGCAAAATGGGTTTAATGGGGTGCTTATTGATCATCACGGTAGCATTGCTAAAGGGTGCAACTGCAGAATCATATGTGGTTGGAGATAGCTTGGGCTGGACTGTTCCTCCTAACACGTCATTTTACTCCGATTGGACCAACTCCAAGACTTTCCATATTGGCGACGAAGTTTGTAAGCATCTTATTTAATGAGTTTGTCAGGGGACATTTTACTCTTGTTATTTAATCTTTAATCTTTAATAAAGTTAAAAGCAAGATCTGGCATATGAAAAAGGATAAATTACACCTACGTATCTTGAACTTTTAGTCATTTATAAGTTAGACTCAAATTTTTTATTCTTAATATATATAATGAAACAAGTAGGAATACCCTAATATTGAAAAACTCCTAACTGAATAACCAAAGGGATACATGACGAATAATAAAAGATGATTATATGGCGTACGTGTCCGATCAATATCAAAATTACCATGGGAGTATTTGGTTTCTTTAAAAAAAGAATCTTTTGATAGGGTAAAAAAATCTTATGATATGTTGTAGTATTTAACCCGTGAATCATCTTCAGTTACAGTACCCTTTATTATATCTTATGTGATTTTGATAGGATTTGATTGTTAATTTTGCAGAATTTGATTTGACGATTTAAAAATGTGCTCTATGAGTACAATTCTTCTTCTTCCTAACATGATATTCTTCTTTTTTTCTTTCTATAATATTAGTGTTCAATTGGACCGGAACATTGGATCACAATGTGGCTGAAGTTTCAACCCTAGCCGAATATGAAAACTGCACCAAACCAGGAATTGTGTATCTCAGTGGTTATACAGCCAATCTCATTGCCAATGGTTCTCGCTTCTTCTTGTGCACCGTTGACAACCACTGCGAACTCGGGATGAAAATGATCGTCACTGTCGGGTCTCCAACGAACACCTCTAGCACTTTGGCAGCGCCGCCCCCTAGTGACAGCTCTTACAGCGCTCCCTCTTTGACCTTTGCCGGTGCCCTTGTGTCTGTATTTTCCCTCATTGTCGTTTCCCTATTCAATTATGTCTAGAAGTACCATATAATAAGTTCTATTATTCTCTGTCATAACTTTCTTGAATAAGAGCTAGTGGGAGCTCGTGCTGTTCTTTATTTATCAATAAATAAACAATTCTTTCAAAGTGTTGGTTTGTTAAGTTAGTATTTTTAGTTGATTCCTTAATTAGTGGGCGTCCTGCTGCACCTCTAAATCATAATATATGCATCACGCAGTTATTTTATATATATATATATATATATGTACCCCAAAAAAATTCAAGATGTTTTAGCATTAAGAGCTTTAAAAAAAATGAACCGGTAGGAGTGACATCTAGCATGACTGCATCCCAACGGGTATTTAACAGAAAAGTGAAAACGACGACATTTAAAGTACATCGGTTTAACGGTACTCTAACAAGCGTCGTTAAAGTCAGGTCATTGTATGTTTGGACATGCAACAAAGTTTTAAGCATCATTGAATGTGCTTATGAAAGCGGTGACAAGCTCAGGGAAGGCACGTTCAGCAAAAACTGTTGTTATATGTGCCTCTGAAATTTTATTTATTTATTTATTTATTTTAAAACACAGCTTTTTCGAGTTTTCTCATGGACAGCCTATTCAATGTGAATTTTTCTTTGCCCAAATATCCAGTAAATTATTGAATACATTTCAATTACATTTCTTGCACACACCATCATATTGATTTAAATCGGTAAATATTGGAATCAATTATCAGTGCTGTAAATAAAGATATTAGTAATTGGGGAAAAAATTCTGATAACATGCGTAGTTACGACATAGTTGTTATCTTCATTAACAATCGGTTGGGCTCACAATCTAAACTTAAAAGCTAATACTTACACAACTATTGATAGCATTAACTCAACAATCAGCTTCACATCGAAATTCATATTCTAATTATGCATTTCCACACAAATTTGATACAAGAATAACTCAAAATTTATAAGAAGATAGTAATTTAATCAAAATTAACAAACAAAGTCATATTCAATAACCAATAATAAACAAAGATATGAGTCAACAAATAGAATTATACAGCAATAAATATATGTTATCAAATGGCTCTTTTTTATTTCTCTTCTTAGTTTTATAACACATATCCATTCAAAGTCTTCAAGGCACTACATCAAAAACGGTTATTAACGACGACATTATTAGCGACGACATTTATCATTGCTAAAATTACAGTATTAGCGACGACATACCGTCGCCAAAAAGAAAAAAAAATTTTTGAACAACTTGTCATCACATTCCCTATTTGCGACGACATGCCGTTGCACAAATTTAAAATATTTACGACGACATATCGTCGCTAAAATTTGATAATTTATTCACACCGACATGTCGTCGCTAATAGCCATTGGCGCCAAAACCAATCTGGCGCCAACAATTTTGGAGCCAGTTTGTTCATTATATTGATACTTACAGCTGGCGGTGACGTGGTCAAAAAGTGACAGAAAATTTGGTGGTTTCCCGCGAATAGGTTCCAGATATTTCTTTATTTTTTGCGACGACATATTAAAAAGTCGTCGCAAAAAATGGTTCCAGAAAATTCTTTTCAAAATGACTGTTTTGGCGACGACATCACTACAAGAAACAGGACTATAAGCAATGACAAAAAGTCGTTGCAACAAATGCAAAGTCATCGCAAATGAAGTTTTAGCGACCACTTGTCGTCGCAAAACTGTCGCCGTAATTGATTCGTCGCAAAAATAAGTTTTGCGATGACAAGCAGTCATCGTAATTATATTTGCGATGACAATCGTCGCAAATGAGTCGCTGCAATTATTTCACCGGTTACCTCATTAAGATGACATGGCATTGAGTTTTTGTAACGACATTTTTCGAGTTAAGTCGTCGCAAAAAATGCAGATTTAGCTAACGTGGCTTATATTTTTTGCGACCACATTTGTGGTCGCAAATAATATTTTAATTTTTTATTTATTATTTATTATTTTACTAAACAATGTTGTATATTACTATATATTTAAACCCAATATTAAATATAATTCATGATATTATAATAATAAAAAAGAATTAAATAAAAGGAAATACATAATAAAAAATATAAATTAAAATTATTATTGTAAAAAGTAATTAATAAAATAAAATAAAAATGTAATTATGGTAGAAATGTGTGGAAATACAAATTGTTACATTAATAAAAATCTAATCTCCTAAATTAGTAGCATCACTAGAATCATCGTCGTTATCATCAGAAGGATTCAAAGGCGGATGACCTGGACGGATATACCGGCACAGGAGGAGTAACCGCTGGGAAAGTCATGTTGGGGTGCATTTGAGTGGTGAAATCCTGCATCATTCTGACGCTCTCGTACAGCTGGAGGTTTTACTAGTAACTTTGTTGCAAGTATTCTTCTACGTGTGGGTCAGAACGTGTCGTAGAAGATCTTACCGAGCGTAAGCCAGATGACGACGCATCCCCTCGATAAAATTTTTGTGGGAATGTGCGACCCACTCTAGTCTTGTGTCCTCTGTGGGTGCCCAGAAACTGCTGCATAATATCCTCCTCGTTAACTGTCCCTGCTGCGGATGATCCAGAAGTAGCAGACTGCGTCTGGATCTAAGTTTCTCTTTCTCCCTCTATCTGATGCAACAAATATTATAAAAAAAATAATTAAATACATAATGTGCTTTAAATAAAAAAATATAATTAAACATTACGTGTATACTTACAAAAGTCTGCTCCGCTTGGGGATTAACCCAAGTGTCCCCACGACGATGCATGTCCCCCAGTTATCAATGACAGACATCGGCTGTTGAGTCCCTGTGGTAGAATGTACAATAGTTTAAATGTATATGAATATAGTGTAATCGATTACCAAATTAACATTTATATTGAATAAATTATTAACAAATACTAACTTTCTTCTCGCGATGTTAGGAGTACGACAGCTGACCATGAAAACTTGACCACTTTTGGTTGCTACGATTAAGTTTATTGATCCCTGACTTTTTCTATTTATGATTACATTCAGCATTAGTAAAATTAACCTTTATTATATATAATAAAATGACATATAAAAGAGATTCAATTACCTGAAACTTGTCAGACATCAATCTATCACAGCAACGACCCTAGTTATTTGAATTCATGTGGTTTTTGGGAGGGTGGGTCCTAACTGCACTCTCATTTTGTGAACCACCAAGATCTTTGAAATAGTCAAGAAGGTCACTTTTCCAATCCTTATAACATTTTACAGCCTCCCTGTCGACCACAGACCTAAGTGTACCATCATCGCGATCATAATTGAGGTTGAAGCATTCCTATAATACAATATAAACATGTTAAATTATTTTATTATATTGAAATTTAGATTAAATTAAAAAACAATGAAGTTGAATAATTTATACCAGCAGACGCTGCTGAATTTCTCTCTTATGCTGGATGTCCACGTCCTTCCAGGCATCGTGGAAAGGCTCACAGACATCCCTAACATGGATTCCAACGGTAATATCGAACTAGGTACCGTAGTTTCCAATTGCCTTCCAAGTACCTCCACATTCGTCAAACATGGGGTTGATATTTCCTTCCTTTGCCACTCTGGCTGCGATTTCGTGAACCTTAGCCTTGTTGGAAAATAAGGCATCGAGTGCGCAGCAGAATTTAAAAAAAAATGTAAATCAATGCCAAAGCCAATCAAGAAGATGTTCATGATGCTATATAACATAAATACTAAAGATCTAAATCATACCTTTTGAGATTTAAGAAACTGCATGTCTGACAGATAAAAGTGTTCCAAACAGCAACCGGAAGAGCCTCAACCAATTGATCTTCTTTGTTATTCTCGTTTCCACGATCGGAGTGCGGGTGGGTACACGTCGTTCAATCTCCACTTGGTATTCTTGAACTCTTTCCAACCATAAGAGAGCCAAAGAAAAAATCGTTCTTCAGAATTAAACAATTTTTCCTCTCAGGAATCTTTTGTCAATAGCCTCTAAAAAGTCTCTCAAGTGATCTAATAAATAATGTAACATAATAGGCTATTTATAGTGTTTAGGAAGTCATATTTCCATAATAATTATATTTCCCAAAGTTTATCTCGCTTACAGAGTCAGTTTCGCCACGTGAGCATGTGTTACACGTTACAACCGGTCGACCGGTAACAGAGACGTTATAACTCACCGGTCGACCTGTCTTCATGAACCGGTCTACCCGACCGGTCGACCTGTCTACACTAACGAAACTTGTTTTCCTAGTTTTTCAGCACGAGAAACTTGTATAGAGCCTCAATTTTGATTCAAGCAACCAATAGAGAAGTTGTCTGATCAAAATAATCATATAATAGTCTTCCCATATTAAACAACTCTTAAAATAATAATTCAACCAATTTATCTAGAATTAATTTATCAATTAATTCACCCGATAAGTCACTCATGAATTAACCAATCTCATATCAACTTTGAACCTCTTTTACAGAAATAACACAAGTTACCAATATGTAAGAAATACACCATATCGTTACAGGAAATTATGTGAGCTAGCAAAGGGACTCGATGGACATATATAAATCAAGCTCCTATAATCACAACGCTACTTGTAAACCGACAAGTCCGTCTTATGATTATAAAACTCTAGCGCTACTCCACTAAAAGCCTAGAGCTACACTCTCAATTTATATAGCGTATTTACAAAACTCTGAATAGCTCTCATCCATGACTCAATATATTAGTGTATCATCCCCATAGGATATCCATAATCGACTTGAGGTCAAGTTCCGTCTTACATTCCCGATTACATTTATCTTATGTTCCATTATCACACCATCAGAAAACTACTATTCGTACCATTACAAATAGTAAGCCATTAGATAACACAGAGTAGTCTAATGGCCGAGCACTCATATTTTCCAATCCACAGATAATGCATAAGAGGATATCATTAGCTCTTTGTAGAAGCTATGGATTCTACTATCTATGAATAATGAATCTATGCACGCACGAGTCATACCCCTAATGTACCGATAAGCGTACATTTACATAATGTTAGGATGTCTCCCTTTGGTACATCAAAAGATACAAGTCAAGCATACGGGTTCATTATCCATCTCAGGATTAAGATGACAACATATAATTCGTCAAATGTGAATTATTTTATTCAAACGGAATTATTAATTAAAACAATTCAACTTTGGTCCAACCCAAAATAGATTTCACCATTAGAAACTGTATCAATGTCTCTACCCATGGAGTCCCACTCCGACGACCAAGACAAGCCGTCTCCGTTAGGAAGTAGACAACATAACAATCTTAATATGAATAAAGCACCGAACTTTATTCCCTCGATTGTGGATCATATGATTCACAATTCTAAATCCAAAACCACAAACTAAATCCAAAATCTAAAACAAAATCACAAACCATAACAAAAATACCAAAATCAATTAACAAAATACCAAAATATTAACTCACAGGTGTCGTCACAAAAAATTATTACAGAAAATTCTATCAAGAATGACTATTTTTTGAGACGACTCGTTTAATAATGTCAGAGCAAATAACTAGGGATTTAATTTTTCCTAAAACAAGGGCAAAAACTTTGGCAGTTTCCTTAAAAATATTTACAACGACATTTTAACAAAGTCGTCACAAAAAATGAGCACGGGTATATTCCTTAAAAATATTTCCAGAAATATTAATGAGGTGAAGAAGAACGATGTCGTGTTTATATTAATTGCGATGACTATTTAATATTCATCGCAAAAAGTCACCTGTATAAACGCGATCGCAGATCTCCTTCTGCCATTTTTTCGATGAGCTCTCGCGGTTTTCTCTGATTTTCTCCATCCAAAACCACCAAAAACCATCCAAAAACACTGAAAATAGCTTAAATATATCGTTCTCTCCTCAAATCTTTCATTTGTGGAGAAAAAAGTCCAAAAATGCGGAGTTTTCATCTCCCCCTCACCGCCCACTTTTCCGGCCGTACTCATCATTTTCCGGCCGCCGGCTCTCTCACTTCCCTGCTGCCTTTCTGTTTTCCAAAAAGTGGAGTTTGCAACGACTTTTTATCATCGCTAATAGCCATGTTTCTTTTAGTGAGGTAAGTTGAGTCGTCATCTTTAAACACATCAACTTGCTCAAACGACAGCAATCCCTTAATAAAAGATAGAATGTAGTTGTAATTTTCCTCGTCCTCTTTGCCAACATGAACTACTCTTGATTTCATTAGAAAAATGGATGACAACTCCAAATCATTTGGAATAGTTGTATAAGAAACTTATTTCGCTTGCGATGATATAAAAAACAATTAATAATTATCGTAGTTGGGTTGCCAAAAGTTAACTGTTGTAGTGTTATCACTACCAATATTCCAACCACAATTGTCAACCCCACCATAAAAGCAATTCCTTCCTGCATCAGTTTACCAACCACCGAGCTATTCACTATTCTGACCTCAGACCTCGAGAACAATGATATCTCCTCAGATCTAACAAGATAGGCCAGGGAATCTGTAACACCCTAAAGAATTAATCAGGATTAATTTAAGATAATTAAGAATTATTAGTGTTCCTAATCTTGATTTATTAATTGGTTTCGATTAATAAATGTTTCTGACATGTAATTTAGATAATTCCAAGGTATTTAAATATTCTCAGTAATTTTTATTTTAACCCATAAATGTGTATGGGCGAATTTCTGGACTGTTTCCTTTAAATGTTAGTACATGTCTATTTTCTTTTCTTTTTCTTTTTCTTTTCTCCCTTTTCTTTCTTTTTCTTTTCCTTTTCCTTCCTTCCCGTGCACCCCTCTCTCTCACTCTCTCATTGTCTCACACACACACACACTCTCTCTCCCGTTTTGCTTCAAATCAACTGGATTTCAAACCAAAGGAAAGTTTTAAGAAGTTTCAACATCAAGAGAAGGATTCAAGGTAAGATTTTTGAAAAAGCTCTCTTGAAATCCTAAGTTTTCAGAGATTCACAGTTTCCTCAGACTTGCAGGGTACTATCAGCATTTCGTGAAAGACTTCTAGAGTATTGCTGCACCGATGACTCGGTTGACCAAGAAAGAAGTCAGATTCCTGATAGTGAAGAACTATATTAGGTGTATTTTGATGCCTCGAGGAGTGGGCTTGGTTGTGTCTTAATGCAAGGGGGACGCGTGGTAGTGTACGCATCTCGCCAATTAAGACCACATGAACGGAATTACCCCACTCATGATTTAAAGCTGGCAGCAGTAATATTTGCTCTGAAGATATGGAGATGTTATCTCTATGGAGCAAAGTTTCAAGTCTTTTCTGACCATAAAAGTCTGAAGTACTTGTTTACTCAGAAAGACTTGAATCTCAGGCAAAGGAGATGGGTGGAGTATATGGAAGATTACGACTTCACTCTGCAATATCATCCTAGAAAAGCTAATGTGGTGGCTGATGGCCTTAGTAGAAAGACGACGGGGACTCTGGCATCATTAGCTTTGGAAGATTGGAAAAGGACTGAAGTGGTGAGTGAGTATGATCTTCAGTTCTACGAAGATTATAACCAGACTATGGTGTATAATTTGGGCTCTACACCGAGTATTATGCAACAGGTTAAGCAGAATCAATTGCAGGATCCACACCTCTAAGGAATCTGGATTTGAATCTAGAATGGAGAGCAACTCGAGGATTGGAGAATCCGAGAGGATGGAGCCTTGTATTTCTGCAACCGCCTTGTTGTTCCTAAGGCGGATGAGGTAAAGAAGATGATTCTGTGAGAAGCTCACAAATCGAAGTTTGCTATACATCTGGGAAGTACAAAGATGTACCAGGACCTACAAAGACAGTACTGGTGGAGAGGCATGAAAAGAGACGTTCATGAGTATGTATCAGAATGTGTGACTTGCCTCTGGATTAAAGCTGAGCGTCAGAAGCCAGCGGGAGACTTACAACCTCTTCCTGTCCCTGGATGGAAATGGGAGCACATCACTATGGATTTTCTGATGGGGCTGCCAAGAACCGAGCTAAAGCACGATGCCATCTGGGTAGTGGTGGACAGGTTGATGAAGCCCGCGCACTTCATACCGTTTCGTACGACGTATTCTCGAAGGATTATGTCAGAATTATACCTGGAGCACATTGTGAAACTACACGGAGTGCCACTGTCTATCACGTTTGATCGTGATACCCGCTTCAATGCAAGGTATTGGAGGAGTTTCCAGGAAGCCATGGGAATAGACTTGAACTTCAGCACAGCATTTCATCCTCAGACTGATGGGCAATCTGAAAGAGTAATTCAGATTCTGGAGGATATGCTTCGTGCTTGTATTCTGGAATTTGGTGGAAACTGGAATAAATACCTGCATCAAGCTAAGTTTGCATACAACAACAGCTATCAAGCCAGTATCGGTATGGCACCGTTTGAGGCTCTCTATGGTCATCCTTGTAGGTCACCTGTTTGTTGGTTGGAACCAGAGGATCGACTGAGTACTGGACTGAAGGTCATTCAAGAGAACAATGAGAAGATAGCCGTGATTCAGGAACGGCTGTTGACAGCTCAAAGTCATCAGAAAAGCTACGATGATAGAAGGCGTAGGCCTTTGGAATTCCAAGAAGGCGACTTTGTTTTACTGAGGGTTTCCCCACGTAAGGGAGTTGCACTAAGGTATATGGGACTATTCCTGATCGTGCAACGAGTCGGGGTGGTGGCTTATCGGTTGGCTTTACCGCCTGAATTATCTCACGTGCCTGATGTGTTTCATATCTCCATGCTTCAGAAATGTCAACCTGAGCCGGAAGCTATGGTACAGTGGTTTGACATTCTGATACAGTATGACGCGACGTACGAGGAGGCACCAGTACAGATTCTTGACCGGAAGATAAAGAATCTGCGCCATCGTGAGATCCCGTTAGTGAAAGTGTTATGATAGCACCATGGAGTTGAGGAAGCAACATGGGAGCTTGAAACGATGATGTAGGAGCAGTATCCGTATCTGTTTACACTTTGAGGTAAGCCTTAATTTCGGGGATGAAATTGCCAGAGGGGGGTGGAGCTGTAACACCCTGAAGAATTAATTGGGATTAATTAACATAATTAAGAATTATTAGTGTGCCTAATCTGGATTTATTGATTGGTTTCGATTAATAAATGTTTCTGACGTGTAATTTAGATAATTCCAAGGCATTTAAATATTCTCAGTAATTTTTATTTTAACCCATAAGTGTGTATGGGCGCATTTCTGGACTATTTCCTTAAAATGTTAGTACCTGTCTATTTTCTTTTCTTTTTCTTTTTTCTTTTCTCCCTTTTCTTTCTTTTTCTTTTCTTTCCTTCCCATGCACCCCTCTTTCTCACTCTCTCGTTCTCTCACACACACACACACACTCTCTCTCTCCCGTTTTGCTTCAAATCAACTGGATTTCAAACCAAATGAAAGTTTCAAGAAGTTTTAACATCAAGAGAAGGATTCAAGGTAAGATTTCTGAAAAACCTCTCTTGAAATCCTAAGTTTTCATATTTGTTCGAAAGAGATTTTGATGGTTTTTGAGTAAAACTAGGGTAGAAATTGGAGATCTTGGGTTCTTTGGACTTGTTTTAGGACCTAGAACCCAGATCTAGTGGTTGTCCCTTGAAATATTTTGATTTGGGACTGGATTTGCAGGTTTTCAAACTGATTTCTATGAGTTTTCTCGCACTAGAGTTCTTCACCGGTCGACCGGACTACACTGAGGCCACCGGTCGACCAGATTGCACACCACCAGTCGACCGGTGGTGATGCACTGTTCTATCACCGATCGACCGGTTGACATAGGGTTTGACCCTGTTTGGCCTGAAATTGTTGTTTTGACACCTATTTTCAAGGAGAACCTAAATTAGCTTCATTTGGGGATGTGAGATAAATGGATTAGCATCTTTAATCCTTGATTTGAGATTGAAAACCCTTAGACTGATAATTTGAAACATGAAAATGGATTAGGGCACACTAATAGGAAATTCTTAGTTAGAAATTGAGATTGGATTGCTTTAGGAATGAGAATTGATCCTAAAGTATTGTCTTGTATCAGTGATCGCTGAGGATTCAGACTAAAGGGGCTTAAGGAAGCAGAAGCCGAAAAAAGGCAACGCTAGTCCCAGGTTTGATAGTGCGAGGTAGGATTTCTATCCCTTTTCCTTGTGAGCCTGTTTTCAAAAAGGATTTCGGCCTTAAAAATGTTTTAAAGAAAGGGGTTGGTTTGCGAAAGAAAAACTCTTTAAAAACCATAGCTTGTTTAGTTCATGGAACCCATGGCTTATCCTGTCCACGAAATCCATAGCTTGTTTAGTCATTGAACCTCATGGCTTGCCTAGTCATGGGGCCCGCGGCTTGAGTAGTTCGTGGGGTCATATTAATGATTTCATAATGTTAAATGAATGATTTCTTAAGATAAGAGATCTTGTGAACCGGTAAGAATATATTGCTGTAAGCCTAGATAGGATGCGGAGAGTGCATCCTCGGGGGCAGAACCCGAAACTCGGTCCGGGTAGGCGAGGCACTTGGTAGGTGAGTAATTTTTACTAATTACTTGCTGATGCCTGTAATATAGTTATTTACAGTTATATTTCCTTTGAGAAAAAGGATGTGAGGTTCCGGCTGCCTGTCGGAACTGAATGTCTTATTTTATTTACTTATTCAATTATTTATTCGTTGCTCATTTATTATTCATTTATTTATACAGTCACTTCAAACTATATCCTACTAGGCCTTTCGTTCACGTTTTATGTTTTAAATGTATTAAACCCCTCCCAGGAGATTCTAGGAGCGGTGCACAATAGCTGGATATTTGCTACGGAGTAGCTGAGTTGTGCTACGGATCGATCAAGTGAGGATTATGTTCATCCTCTGACATAAAAGTGTAAGGAATCGAGAATTCTGTAAACTCATGTAATACTTGGATTTACTAGACTGTGGTCGATGTCTGTTGTAATTGACTATTTACATGTTCATGTACATACAATGCCATATATCCTGTGGGTGGAGCCCTCTATGTTGTCAGAGGCTCAGGACTTAGAAATTTATATTATATTTTAATGGAGTTAAGTGGGGTTCATTTGGGAATCTGCTTTATTAACCCCTAATTGAGCTCCACGTCACCCACCACGTTTGGGGGACGTAACAGAATCAAATGCCTAATAACAATGACAGAGGGAAAGGAAAGGTACAGGGACAAGTCTACATCATGGTAGGAGGAAGTTCTGGAGCTCGTGCCACAAATCCAGTTGTTGAGGATATGCTACTCATTTCACATTCAATTGCACGAGTCTTATTTGACACTGGTGCTACGCACTCACTCATTTCTACTTCTTTTGTGAAAATTTTAGGTTTGAAACCCGAGGACCTAGAAACTCCAATGTTCATGAACTTTTCATTGGGGTGTGTGGAGGTGAATAGTATATGTAGATCACGTGTGATCATGATCGGAGGAGAGAAATTGAGGGCAAACTTGATTATCCTTCCCATGAATTTATTTGACGTAATGCTTGTAATGGATTGGTTGTTAAGATATGGGGCAATTGTTGATTGCCACTGTATGAGGGTTACCTTGACTACCAGTTCCAGAATGATAGTAAACTATCAGGGAGGTGTTAACCCGATTGCAGAGGAACGACTATTGAAACATAGCGTTGGGGGACGGCGCAACCTAGCCTGTTTCTCATTCCTTTTCACTTTAGAGGGTGAGTCTGACGTTATCAGAGAAAATACTGAAATCCCAGTAGTGGATGAATTCCTGGATGTATTTCTTAAAGAATTACCCCAGATCCAGAAATAGAATTCTGTATTGATCCACTCCCACAAACGGCCCCTATCACCATCGCTTCTTACCGAATGGCACCGGTTGAGATGAAAGAGTTAAGGAAGTAACTCAATGAGTTAGTAGAGAAAGGATACATTAGAAATAGTACCTCCCCATGGGATGCACCCATGTTATTTGCAAAGAAGCACGACGGATCTTTCCATCTGTGTATCGACTATCGGCAGTTGAACAGAGTTACCGTGAAGAACAAGTACCCATTGCCTAGGATCGATGAGTTATTTAACCAGTTGGGTAGATCACGATATTATTCTAAGATCGATCTGATATCCGAATACCATCAACTCAAGGTCAGGGAGGAAGACATTTTGAAAACTTCTTTCAGAACCCGGTATAGGCATTTTGAGTTTCTGGTTATGCCTTTTGGGTTGACGAATGCTCTGGCAGCCTTCATGTACATGATAAATCGAGTCTTTTGCCCTTATATGGATCAATTCATGATAGTTTTCATCGACGGCATCCTGATTTACTTAAAGACCGAGCAAGACTACGAGCAACACTTACGGATCGCACTCCAGACTCTTCGTGAGCATCAGCTTTATGCGAAGAAAGAGAAGTGTGACTTCTGGTTAACAGAAGTCAGGTTCCTTGGACATGTCATATATGGACAAGGAATCTCAGTAGATCCTTCGAAGATTGAAATGGTACTGCAATGGGAACGACTGAAGAATGCAGCTGAAATTTAAAGTTTCCTAGGACTCGCGGGGTATTACCAGCAATTTGTAAAGAACTTCTCGAGCATTACTGCTCCAATGATCCCGATAACCAAGAAGGAAGTTAGATTTGAATGGGATGTTGACTGTGAGCACATTTTCTAAGAATTGAACACCAGGTTGACGAGCGTACCAGTTATAACTATGCCAATTATTGAGGAACCGTACGAGGTATATTCTAACGTGTTAAGACGAGGATTTGGGTGTGTTTTGATGCAAGGAGGACGTGTTGTAGCTTGTGCATCCTGCGAACTGAAGGCCCATGAGCAAAATATGGAGATGTTATATGCTGTGATGCAAGGAGGACGTGTTATCCAACTCACGATTTGGAGTTAGCTGCTGTAATTTTTGCTATCAAAATATGGAGATGTTATCTCTATGGAGCAAAATTCTAGATCTTCTCTGATCATAAGAGTCTGAAGTATATGTTCACTCAGAAGGACTTAAATCTAAGACAAAGAAGATGGATGGAGTATATGGAGGATTATGACTTTACTCTACAGTATCATCTTAGAAAAGCCAATGCGGTAGCAGATACTCTCAGCAGAAAGACTTCATGAATCCTAGCATCATTGGCTTTGGAGGATTAGAAACAGACTGAAATTGTAGATGATTATGATCTTCAGTATTATGAGGATTATAATGAAGCTATGGTGTACAACTTGGTTTATGTGCCAACGCTTACGCAACAGATCAAGCAGAACCAATGGCAGGATCCACACTTTCAAGGAGTTTGGACTCGAATTCAGAATGGAGAACAACTAGATGGTTGGAATATCCGGGAAGATGGAATGCTTTACTTCAAAAACCGTCTTGCTATTCCTCAGGTGGATGAGATAAAGAAGACAGCCCTTCATGAGTCTCACAAATCGAGGTTTATTATTCATCACGTGAGTACCAAGGTGTATTAGGACCTTAAAAGGCAGTATTGGTGGAGGGGTATGAAGAAAGATATTCGCCAATACGTGTCAGAATGTGTGACTTGTCGTCGAGTCAAAGTTGAACATCAGAAACCTGCTGGAGAACTGCAACCTCTTCCAGTTCCTGAATGGAAGTAGGAACACATTACAATGGATTTTCTGATGGGATTGTCGAGGACTGAATAGCAGCATGATGCAATATGGGTCATTGTGGATAGGCTAACGAAGTCTACGCACTTCATTCTATTTCATGTGACGTATTCCAGGAAAGTTCTAGCAGAGTTGTATCTGGAGCACATTGTCAGACTTCACGGAGTTTCGTTGTCAATCACTTCAGACCGTGACACTCGTTTCAATGCGAAGTACTGGAGAAATTTTCAAGAAGCCATGGGGACCGAATTGAATTTCAGCACCTCATTTCATCCTCATACCAACAGACAGCTT